AGTCGTGCATGCCGTAGTCGTTAGACCATTGACCTCGCATCCCTACAAAGCCGGGACGGAGCAGTTCTCCCTGGACGAGGCTCTCATATCACCGAGCGCGAAGCGCCGTGAGATATTCGGCGAGTCGCATGAAGGGTGCGCTGCATCCTGCTAAGGGTTTTCGGCAACTTTTGCTTACTTCCTTGCATACGGATGACAGCTGCGTATGACTTAATTTACTTTCTGGTGCTTCACTTCCTGAGACAGTTGTAAGCAATGTGTCACTGCCTCGAGGGTGCTTGACTATTTTACCACAACCTGGTGCGATCATCCCCCTTGCCCGGAGTGAGGGTTCTCGACCCCGCACAACATGATCTACTCGACCACCATTCATTATGGTTGCCGCCAAAAACAAAAACAGAGGAAAAAAAAAGGGGCGGGGGTCGTAGCTATGCTCTGCGTGCCTTGGTTGCTCGACCATTGAACGCCCGTCCTCGACAGGGAGGAGCTGTTGGGAGGGGGGTGCGTGCCTTAGTTGCTAGATCACTGAAACACGCATCCCCGAGAGGACACAGGAGGCGGAGAAATGAGCCTTGCCAAAGGAACTGATCCAACATGTCAAGAGTCAAGAACGGAACAAGGAGCGCCCATCGAGGCCACCTCGCCACGGAAAGTCCGCGTTATCCTCATTGGCTCCACGGGATGACGAAAACACCCCAGCTTTTGCGATGCTGACAGCATCCGTTATTCATTGTCGTTCTAACACCACTCAACACAACGAACGCAGCGACTTAGGGTTGTATCGACCGACTTTCGGGTTTCACTGCCCAAGACAAATTATTTTTGTCGCAAAGTAGGCCAGAGATGGCGATAGGAGCCGAAATTCAACCCTGACTAGTCTTTAAATGGTGTGAGCTCAGTCTAAGCTGATTGGTGTCACGGTTCGATTTCGGCTTCCTCGGAGTGGAGGTTTGGGGTCATTAGGAGTCCCCAACTAGCCTTTTGTTTGGCCGACATCCATTGGTCTAGACTTGCCAACGCTGAGTGAACTGGTCTGCCGTCTCCTCCATAAACCTATAGACAATTTTAACACATTTCCTATTGGAATTCACGTAATGGTGGCGTTTGTTGACGGAAAAACGCAATAGCGATCATCATACAGATGGGTAAACTCGGCTTCTACACGGCCCGCAAAGAGCAACACCTTCTCTCCGTGGACGGTAGGCCGTAGAACGCTAGTTGTCCGGCTTCGTAGACACCAACGATTGCATCTTTGTTGCCAGAGCTGCGGCGACACAGGAGCAGGAAAAATGTTTTCCGGCCAGGCAGGGAGGGGGGGCAACACGGAAGTTGCGTAGTTTTCAAGACTTTTATGTGGCGGGAGAGACGGTAGTGTGGTGCGAGTCCTGTCCCTCGCGGCTGCTTCAAAAACGATGCGTATACGGTGGACTGAAAATTACATCCGTAGTGCCTACAGCAGTGTCGACACTTCGCCGCACAAGTCCGACCAAAATCGCGGACATGGGGGAGCATACATGCATCTGGAGGGACGTGTGCGTGGCCGTAAATGCTCTCGGCGTCCCAGCGCTAGGTCGCCTACGAGTGACGATACGAGCACTTCCCCATCGCGAACGTGATTTCACGGCGAAGTTGTCGGGAGCCAGGATTTCACTGTCTACATCACGTTTTCAGGTTCGTCGAACAGCGGTTGAGGGTGGCGTATAGCGCTACGTCGTCGAAGAGTGACTACACGAGCACCTTCCTGTCATGAACGTGCTTGATTTCACAGCGGTCAAGTCATCGGGAGCGAGGATTTCTCTGTGGCTCTCAAACAGCAGCGGGTAAGGGTACCAGGGCGGGGTGGATACTGGCGGCCGCATCAAGCAATGAGTTGGGTATTTCCTCGTCCGTCGCGTGATCAACCACGTTTTCCGGTCGCCTACACATAGACCAATCGACCTCGTACAAACCTCAGCGGTGTGTGTTCACCTGTTTCTGCTACACGAACGTGCTGGACGTTCTCCTTGCGCTGGACGGAACGGTATATTATTGAAGTACTATTGTGCCCGTCACAAGACCGCGAACCAAGAATAATCAATCCGTCCAACACGTTCAGCGAAGGACCAAAAGAGAACATTTAGATGGTAGTGCAACGTGGGATTGAACAAACGAAATGATTGGTGTTTGATTCATACCCACCAATTCTTGGACGTGTAGTAGACGGAATAAGTTGAAGCCAATGTAACTTCGTACCTAATGTTCACCAATGTTCTGTACCTCACGTTGACCTCGTCAGGGTCACCGTATTTTGTACCCGATCTTGACATACCTGATGTTGACCTCGTCGGGGGCGCCGTCGACGATATACCTCAGAACGAGTTCCGTGAAGGTCGCGAACTTGTTGCCTCCGACGCCGTCTTCGCCGCCCCCGTCATCAACAGCGTCGCTGTAGCCGTCACATTGGAACCTGTTCGATAAGGCCGTCGGCCGGGCAACAATCACACAACCAGAATATGTGGACGTTGCCGGTTACACCCGCCTACCCGCGCGTTTTCGCCGTTTCGCTGGATTCCTCTATTACGGAACCCTTAGAGAGAGGGAAAAAGGGGCTCACAATCCAACCATGGACTGCAAAAAATCGAAATCAAGGCACTCGACCCTGCAGATCTCAAAGATGAGCTAAAGATGTACTCGGTCCACTTTTTACTACTTCTGCCCAAGTTCCAACGCACGGTTTCGGAAAGAAAAAGTCGACTAGCTTCCGCTTAGGCCCGTGTGGACACATGATGAGCGAGATGTATCGCACACAGATCCATCTACGTTTGACCGGCGCCGTTGGAACGTGCTCATTTCGTTGCCAATGCCGCATTTCCCCCCCCCGGAAGGAAAGCTGCGAGTACATGCGCCCGTTTTCTTATCTCTTGTTTGAAGCTATCTACACCCTCGCCCAAGTGTTCACCCTACCCCTACCGCCGATTCGACCTGCAGTGCTTTTTGAGCTCCCAGCGACGCGTGCCCCTCCATTTCGAGAAATGTAACGAATTGACTCCGGTACCGCCGCAGGCGTTCGAAGCAATGAACGTCGCACATAATTTTTCCCCCGGGCACCCCGTTGTATGTGATCGATATACTTGTAGCAGTGCCAAGTGGCTGGTGCGGGATGTTCCCCTGGAATGAGGTAGAGCGGAATACCGGGTGACATGTGTGGTACGTAGAATGAATTCCAGGGAGTACAAGGTACCCCTGTTGTATACGGCGTCGCCCCCTCAACGAAGCTTTTGTGTGCGTATGTGGATGCAACTAATCACAACAAGTTTTTCTCCTCGGCGCGAGCCCGCCAAGTTGCCGATACCCTATTCAACACACGTCTTACGACAAGCTACCCCCAGTTCGGATTATTTTAACACGCTAGCGTGATATCATACGGGATCCCAAGGTGGGGCTAGCTACAAAAGGGGTTGGCCAGAGACCAGTGACACGGAAATCAGGGAGCAGCAGCTGCATGAGCTCCAGCTCTCGGACGAGCAGCGAAACGTAATCGACGCCCTTATCAAGGAGCAGGCCAAGAAGAAAGTGAAGAAGCAGCATCTGCAGAGCGCCCCGCAGCACAGAGCGAGGGCATGCCTTCCGAAGGAGGCGACACCCGGCAGGAGAGGCCGGCCGGCTCGGAGTCAAGCCCGCGACCCGAAGACCAGCCCCGATCGCCGGCGGACGTCAGCCTCATCGACACCCTCGCGCGGGCCTTGCAGAGGGTCAATATTGAACCGGAGGATGAGAACAGGGAAGTCCAAACCCCAAAGGAAACAATACGTAATAGCGCAGGTATCACTATCCCTGCATTCACCGGGAAGTTTAGCCCCGAAGACGATGTACAGACGGCGGTAATAGCCTTTTCCAGTCAATTCCGGTCTTTGTTGGAGCAGGAGCGTTTCCTTGGGGCAATAGAGTTAAATAACACATTTCGTGTAGGAAAGACTGGTAACAACATATTCGCCTGATTGAGAGCGAAGTATCTGATTGAGAGCGAGAGCCAAAAAAATTGAAATTTCGGGTCCAGACGCCTCTTGCCATTTCTTGGCAAGTAGGGGACGGGCTATTCCAAGAAGCGGTGCAAATTGAAGGTCTCATCAGCAGCTTCGCGAGCATATGCGTGTCATCGTCATCGGATGCTGCAGCGAGGAGCTAGACAAGTTGCTAGATTTGCCCAGATTGGCTATTTCTGCTCAAACTGTTTCAGGGCGGTATCGCGTCGGGCGGTGGGCTCTGCTGTAGCTTCTGCTCCCCGCTGTAGCTCCACAACGAGAGACTCCCACAGGATGACCAGGGTAGCGGCTTGAAGCTACGGGCTAGCCCTTCAATTCAAGCTACACAGCAAGCTCCACCTCTCAGTGGTAGTCCGGCTACAGCGTATCGCGCAATCTCGCTCTCAATCAGATACTTCGCTCTCAATCAGGCGAATATGTTGTTTGGTGTGGATGTCTCGGCGTTGAAGATAGAGCATGGGACGGTAGCTGTAGATCGGGCGGTTAAGGCATGGCAGCTGATTGTGTCCAAGATACAAGTACCCACGATAGTCCCTGCAATCCTAGCTAGTGGTTGCCCCACTGAATGGTGGGATCGATTTCTCAACTTTTACCGAGAGCACGCAGAAATGGACAAGTTGGAGTTGCAGGGGCAGTGGCACTCGTTGAAGCAGCAAGTAGGAGAGGAGCCCCGGCGCTATCTCACAGGAACAGCAATACATCGCCAGAAACTAGAAGCTTACGGTTGGGTGCAATCCGATCATGATGCTAACGTCCACTATGTACGCAACCTTCTGCCCGATTTCCATGTGCAGAGGAGCGTGTTGTTGGCGCATTCGGAGGTCAGGATGGAATTGTTAGAGAAGGTGATTCTGACTGCCTGGGCGGAGACGGAGGCCGCTAGGAAGAGGGCGTCGGAGAGCGTGGGGGCGTATGCCCTCGTCACTGGCGGTGACAACCGTGGTGGCGGGGGCGGGAACATGGGGGATAGGGGGAAGACGAGAGGACAACGGAGGACGGCAGCGCGGCAACAGCAGCAACAACCGCAGCAGCCACAGCAGCAGCATCAGCCGTACTTCAAGCAGCAGCAACAGGTATACCCGCCGCCGTACCCGCCTGAGATAAAATATTGTGACCTTCACAACTCCTCGTCCCACAGCAACGAGGAATGTCGCTTGCAGCGGGGTTGGGGAGGTCCCTCGGGCGGCCAAGGTGCGAGCTACGGCAGAAGGCACGGGCCCCTGCATGGGGGCCGGGGCTTTTCTGGAGGAGGACGTCATCAGCAGCAGCCGGTAGGAGGAAGATTCGGGGGGCGTGGCGCCGCTTCCGGTGGGAGGGGCAGGGGCCCTTTCCACCAGGGACCGCCGGGCAGCGACCTCCCCGCCTACCCTGTGCCTCAGCGTGGCTACGACTATAGCGCCTACCCCCCCCACATGTACCGCCCCCAGGAAAATGAACTTCCCATCCACCCGAATGACCCTCGTAAGCGGTGTGAGAACTACGGTGAACTCGGCCACAACCATCTGTTCTGCCCTTCGCGTGTTGATGTCTAGCAGCCGGAGTACCTATCCCCCCCCTTCCAACAGCAGCAGCCAGTCCATTCCCCTTACGCCTCTCCTGCGCCTGATCGGAGCACCTTCGTCGGCAGGGGGGGGGCTTTGCATGCGTGTGTTGTAAGAGACATGTCAAGTGAGTGCCAGAATGAGATTTCGGGTGGAATTGTGGGGGGTGAAGGGTACTTGCCTTGATGAACTCTGTGCCGATTGTGAGCGAGGAGCGTGTAGGAGTTGAAGGATGGCTTGCAGGCTCCGGTGCAACTAACCACACCACCGGAGACCCCAAAAACATGTATGATGTGATCATCCCGCCCCTTCGTAGCGAGAGAGTGCAGATCGGTGATGCCAGGGCGATGCGAGAGCTTGGAATCGGATAAACGTTAGGTTCCATCTTGAAGGTAGAGACTTTTGCGTGAAGCTTACCCGAGTACGTCCTGTAGAGGGAATGGGGTTCAATCTTTTCTCCCTCCACCAAGCATAGGGATTGCAACGTATTGCCTTGGACGACGTAGGCAACCATCTTTTCTATGGCCAATTGACCTTTCCCCGTGGCGAAAGGGGTTCGTCGCTTTGGGCCACTCGCTTGCTGCCCACTAGAAAACGCTTACCGCTGTGCCTGTGATGCCTTTTCCCCCGGTACCCTCTCCCCGCGCTGCTGATGTACGTTTACATGCGAATGATGGTAGAGTGATGCCAGAAACCCCACCGGTGCTTTCCCCCCCTCCGGGTGTAGCATACGTTCCTTCCGCAGTGTCAGGTGTCCCGCCCGCTGAAAGCAGCGTAGTGCCTCCGGTGATGTATGTACCTCACACCGCTCCCAGGAGTGTTGTTCAACCCCCCGTGTGGAATTTTCCGCCCGCTGCTGCCGGCGTAGTACCTTCCACAGTGTATGGTTTCGCGCCCGCTGCAAACAGCGTAGTGCCCTCTACTGTGCCCAGTTTCCCACCCGCTGCAAACAGCGTCGTGTCCCTAATTGTGTCCGGTCTCCCGCCCGCTGCGAGCAGCGTCGTTCCTCCGGCAATGTATGCCGCCCCCCCCGCTGACAGGAGTGTGGTGTTTCCTTCCGCTCCTCAAGTGCCGCATGGTATGGAGTTGGTAGCTGTTCCCGGGCTGCCCTCGCCCGACATCTCCATTTTTCAGAGATCAATGATGATGACGACCGCGGATGCATTCCGTACACAGAGCAGGGAGATTACGAGTGGGCTGTGTACCTATTGGAAGAAGGAGAGGTATCAGAAGACCCCTACGAGTTTTTAGACTTGATGTTTGAGGTTGGAATTGCAAATGTCTTCGATGATGTTGCTTTCGCCGTCCCCGTCATGGCCCCGGGCAAGCGCCCTTTTTCGGTGGGGAAACCCACCAAGATTACTGACGTTGACCTTCTCCACGTTTCGTGCTCCCACGCCAATGAGTTTGTTTCGCGTGAGCTTGCGAAGCAGCACGGTCTCCGACTGATCGGTGTCCTGCAACCTTGTGGTGGATGCCTGCAGGCGAAGGGGAAGAAGGCGGGCGTGCCTTACCAATCGGGCACGCGCGCGGAGCGGCCGCACGATCTTTGGCATCTCGATCTGAGTGGGCCGATGACGGCCCGCTGGGGGAGTCGTTTTTCATGATCATGTTCGGGGACAGCTTCCGGCAGTGGATGAAGCTGTACGGGATGAGGCGCAAGTCGGACACTCTCGCCTTCGTCAAGAAGTTCCTCGCCGACGTGAGTGGCACGGGTGTCCCTCGCTCTTTCCGGATGGACAACGGGGGGGAGTTCATCAGCCGTGACTTCATCGCCTTCTGCGACAACGCCGGCATCCGCCGTACGTACACGGCGCCGGGCACCCCGCAGCAGAATGGTCCGGCAGAGAGTGCGATCTGGCGCGTGAACAAGGCCGGCCACGCCGCTCGTCTCGAGGCACGCCGCCTGTTCCCCAAGATCGACTTCACCCGCGTCCATGGCTTCGGACGCGATGGCGAGCGACTTTGGCTAGAGTCGTGTCACTGGGCTGCCGGCGGCTTCAACCGTTCTCCGACCAAGGCAAACGTCGGGTACAAGTTGCCGCACGAGCTCTTCACCGGTCGCCCACCCCCGCTCCAGATCGTCCCGTTCTTGCAGCCGAAGTACATGCGTGTGACGCGCGCGCGGAAGATGGATCCTCAGGCAGTGTTGTGCTGCTACCTCAACAACGGCGACAACCATCCCGAGTCGGCGGTCAAGGTCCTCAAGTTCGCGACGGGGCGCGTGTGCATGGCGAACAACGTCATGTGGGTCTCCGACCGCGCGCCGTTGCTGACCCCGCCGCTGGAGATGCCGGCGCCGGCGGACGAGGGGGGGGATTTGGATGTCCCCGCCGCACCATTTCTAATAGTACATTTCAGCGCCTCTTTTACCCCCCTCACCGTTCGCCCGCTCTCCCACTTCACCCGCTGCAATATCCTCACAGGCGCCGCCGGCAACTCTCACACCACCATCGCCGGCGGCANCCGTTGCTGACCCCGCCGCTGGAGATGCCGGCGCCGGCGGACGAGGGGGGGGATTTGGATGTCCCCGCCGCACCATTTCTAATAGTACATTTCAGCGCCTCTTTTACCCCCCTCACCGTTCGCCCGCTCTCCCACTTCACCCGCTGCAATATCCTCACAGGCGCCGCCGGCAACTCTCACACCACCATCGCCGGCGGCACCGTCTACCGCAGCCACACCACCGCCACCGGTCACCGCGCCGCCTGCAACACCGTTCGCCGCCGCGCCACCGTTCACCACCACTGCAACACCGTTCGCCACCGCGCCACCGTTCACCACCACCGCACCGCCTGCAACGCCTTTCGCCGTCGCGCCACCGTCTCCCGCCGTCGCGCCGCCCGGTGCCGCGCCATCGACCAATATGCCGCCGCTCACTACGAGGACCATCCGTGAACTGGACGTGGGGCGCGGGGACATGAGGGTTTCTGCGCGCACAAGGGCAGCCGCTAAGGACCAAGGGGGGGGGCGGGCGTCGTCAATGCCGCCCCTCTCTGCCAGGGCCAATCGAGAGCTGGACTTGGGACGAGGGACGCGGGTGCCAGGGAGGTTGAGGGTTCGGGGGGTGCGTTTCCAGGAAGGGGGGGGGGCAGCGGTCGACGTCACCTGGCGGAAGCGGCGACGCTCCCGCCCACCGCTTCGGGCTTGTATCCCTGCAGGACAAGGCAACGCTCCTGTCGACTCTCACCACTCGCAGCGTCGTCGATGGGGGGAGAAAGGAGATCCCGAGTTCAGCCGGAGGACGTGAAGTAGCGGAGCCGGAGGGGCGAGAGCGGGGAGGCCCGAAACAGAAGGACTGTGTGAATAAATCCCATTTTCGTGCTCCACCTTGCTTGCCTCCCGCGAGGACATTGATCGCACGATGAGGGATTAAAATCCACCGGAAGTGGCACCGGACTTGCCACATTGCTATGCTAACGACTTGCGCGTGCCCAAAACGTACGGGGAGGCTGGGTCATCTGTATGCTGACTTGTGGATAGACTCTGTAGAGAGGGAGTTGAGGGGTGTGATGGAGGCTGGTACCTTTGAGGAAGTAATGTAGCAACAGAGAGTGTTATCAAGGCCAAGTCGGTGTTGAATTGGAAGTCTGACGAGTATGGATGGCCGGCTAGTGTGAATCGCGGCTAGTAGCGAGAGGAGATGTGCAGCGAGTACATGTAGATTGTGGAGAGACGGATGCACCGACTGTTGTAGCGGTTCTAGCGTTCGCTTGTTGGCAGCGATGGCGTGTGAGCAAAATCTTTCTCTTCTTCATTTTGACATCAAGCAAGCATTTGTCCAGTCGGATTTGGATGAGGATGTTTTCATGCGTCTGCCAGAGGGGTGTGGTAGATTGTCAGGTACGATATTGAAGCTGAACAAGAGTCTGTATGGCCTTAAGCAGGCATCGAGGCAATGACATTCACACTTGGCGAGGTGTTTGTTTTGTTTGGGTTTTATTCAGTGTTTGGCGGATACGTGTGTGTTTCGGTTGATCGAGGAGGGAAGAATGGTAGTGACTCTGGTAGTACATGTGGATGATATATTTTCGATTGGAGAGGAGGAGAGGTGTGACCAATTTGTTAGGGATCTCAACACCATGGTACCGGTGAAGAATCTTGGTGACTTGAGATGGTACTCTGGATGCTTTTATGAGAGATATTGGGATGCAGGGACTTTGAAGATCTCGCAGCAGACGTACGCTGAAGAGTTTGGGATGGAGTTTGGGGTAGAGTACGGGAAGGAAATTCCTCTTCCTGAAGGGTCGAA